TCTCTCTCTCTCTCTCTCTCTCTCTCTCTCTCTCTCTCTCTCTCTCTCTCTCTCTCTCTCTCTCTCTCTCTCTCTCTCTCTCTCTCTCCCCACATGTCCGCAAGGGACAAGTACGGGCCTGCTTTCATAATTGCCGCGCCGTCCACTGGTAACGGAACTTGTGGCGTCGCTAGGTGGGCTCCACTGGGCTCCACGGTGCTCTCTCCCCAGGTCCCAGTAGCTGGTCTCCACAGGGCTCCGCAGGCCGGTTCGTCCTCGTCTGGGCCCAAGGGCAGCAACAGTTTTTGTGCTCGTAATGCCTCGTACGAACTACAGCCGTGGTACACCTGCCATCTGAAGTCTTTTTTGCTTATTCGAACTTCGGCAATGCTGATGTTGCGACGCCGTGTTTTTCTTGCCTATTTTGAACTGAAGTTGTGACTCAGGAGCAGTTTCCCCAAAAAAACAAACAAAAAAAAATGTTTTCTTTTTCTTTTTCTTTCTGACATCCCTCACAGGACTACTGTCTTCACCCGAATATAATGCCCGTGAGTATAGCCGTATTTGGGGCATTGTTTTTTTGGAGTGGGGGAAACTACGGGGCAGTCACATAAATGAGTTATAATTGCACCATGGGCCAAGATACAGTTTCGAGTTGCAGCTCGGGCAATGTATACAACCCAGCTTTCTGGCCAGGTAGGGTGCCCAAAGTACAATTGCAAACCGTATCTTTGCCCATAGTGCAATTATAACTCGTTTTTGTGACTCTACTGAAGTTACCCCTTTCTTTTTTTTGGAAAGAAACTCGAGTTGAGGTTTCACTTTAGGAGGTGATAAGAGCATCCTCCTGAAGTGATCCATTCAAGGGATCACTTCAGGAGGGTGCACTTATCACCTTCTAAAGTGAAATCTCAAAAATTGGAATGACCATTTTGCACATGGACGACCCCTGTCTGACGTGGCGGGTGAGCGGCCGTGTCAGAAATTTTTAGCTGGGTGAGGTACTGGTGGTTTAAAGGGATCACTTCAGGAGGATGGTCTTATCACCTCCTACAGTGAAACCTCAAAAATACGACCCCCGTCTGACATGGCATGTGAACGGCCGTGTCGGAAATTTTTAGCTGGGTGAGGTACTGGTGGTTTGAAGGGATCACTTCACGGGGATGATCTTATCTCCTCCTAAAGTGCAACCCGCGTCCGAATTTTTTAACCCGCGTCGGAATTTTTTAGCTGGGTGAGGTACTGGATCACTTCAGGAGTTAGCTGGGTGAGGTACTGGTGGTTTAAACCACCAGTACCTCACCCAGCGAAAAATTTCCGTTCACACGCCGTGTCAGACAGGGGTCGTCCATGTGTGCAAAGTGGTTGTTCCTATTTTAAATTTGAGGTTGCTCTTTAGGAGGTGATAAGAGCATCCTCCTGAAGGGATCCCTTTAAACCACCAGTACTTCTTAGAGTCGTGCCAGCGCCACGTTTTAGGAAACGTACGGGCTACTACAGGAGTGCCCAAATTCATCCGACTAGAAACGTTTCTACTCTTCTTTTTTTCGCAGCCGATAGCTGGGCCAAGTACTGGTGGTTTAAACCACCAGTACCTCACCCAGCAAAAAAATTCCTATGCTGCGGTTTGCGTGAGTGTCGTCCATGTGCAAAGTGGTTGTTCCAATTTTTGAGCTACAGTGTCAAGGAAAGAAAAAAAAAGAAGACGAACTTTGCTATAGAGAAGTGCTGACTCTGCCGAGTTCAACAGGCCGTGCTCACACTTGTCCTTTCCCAACAGACCCGTCTGCAATCCAAGAAAGATTCACCATCATGATGTTGTCTTTTTCTTTTTTTTTGTTTCTCTTCCTTTTGTTTAGATTGCCCTGCCAGTCTGGCAGGTCGTTTCCATGATACTCTGAAACACCCTCATGGAGGGCATACTTACACTGCCCTTTTTTTCCTTTTTTTTTTGGCAGCTGAGGCTTCCACCATGAGAGTGAGGTCATCCAAAACAAGAGAGCAAACAGGTATGGCTTCCCCCCAGATGAGATTTTTATGGTTTTGATCTCCTGATTGGCATGCAATTTAGCTGCCAACGCCTCCACAACTATCACCAACGAGACTTGTAGAGAACGTCCATACCTAGCACCTGAAGTGCCCGTGCAACAGGGCTCGTATAACTACGATTTCGTCAAAACGGACATTTTTTATTTTTTGAACGAAATTGAAACTCAGAATTTTTGCCTTTTTTTTCATATTTTGTGTAATTTTGAGCTACGAAAAAGGGGGGTAAGGGGTAAGGGGTAAGGGGTCAGAGGTCAGGGGTAAGGGGTCAGGGGTCAGGGGTAAGGGGTAAGGGGTCAGGGGTCAGGGGTAAGGGGTAAGGGGTAAGGGGTAAGGGATAAGGGGTAAGGGATAAGGGGTAAAGGGGTAAGGGGTAAGGGTTATCAGGTAAGGGGTAAGGGGTAAGGAGGAGAGGTGCAAGAGGTAAGACCTACGATGACCTCTCGTAAATTGTACTTCTTACACGATCAGTCACATTTTATCATGAACCGCATTATTAATCCTCGTTACACTTACAAACTCATTTTATCATCTATCAGGTCTAGTTGTGATCACAACATGGTCGTTTCACATTTGTTTGAACGTCTATAATGTAAAAGGAACAAATTCGTCTACTCCACAACAACTACGTCGAAAGCTATCCGGCATCGTATTTTCTTCGTGTCATCTGATGTGAACCTGAAAGGTGGAAGAAACCCTCTCGCCAATAGTGATGCATATGTCAGCATAAACACACCGCACTCGTTGAAGTTGCGCTGCTTCGGAATGCCTTCCACTTCCCATAYATGATTGAAGTTAGCARTGTCGATTTCTTTGCCTTGTTCGACYGACCTCATGTACAGAAATCTTGCAAACCCCCCTGTCACCTTCGCCGCGAGTTCACGATCCGCCGTCCGCGAATCGTAGTACTCTATTTTCCTACGCCGTAGGTCTGCCACTACGAGTGTCCAATGCCGGTTGTGCGCGACGTGGAAAGGTGCAATGATCAAATCCATGTCGCTGATCACGATCTCTGTGAACCACTTTTTAACATTTTCGTACTAGAACTTCACATCGCTATCAAATAGTTTCGAAAAAAAAAATGAGCTTAGCACTGCTATTGTAGGAATGCGCCCCTTTCCAGTTCTAACCACGTTTTCGTTCTTCGAGTCGCAATTAACGTGCTTCACACGACACTCATTGTCCAGTCGGAGAAGGTTAAGATAAAACTTTACTATCTGCGAGTTCAGCCACTTCTTTTCCACCATTAGCAAGCTAAAATCGTTAACTGTAATGAACTTGCTATGACGTGGCTATTCCCAAGTTCCACTCGCAACCGCGTGAGCTCTCTCTCCGTCAAATTTGTTGTTGCTAGGTGGACGGTCCATCCTTTTTTGCACCTCCGATTATCCTCCGTTGTCGTTTGTGCTGCACATGACAACGCGCCATGTCCTTACGTGAGCTAGTGGTTCGGTACGTCCATTTCTAGTCATGTTCATTGCATTCAATTTGGAGTAGTACCACGTAGTCAGAGTTACCTTAAATGAGCGCGGTGCTTATTAAGAGAGAGAGAGAGAGATAGATAGAGATAGAGATAGAGATAGATAGATATATATATATATATATATATATATATATATAGAGAGAGAGAGAGAGAGACATTTAGAGAGAGAGAGAGAGAGAGAGAGAGAGAGAGAGAGAGAGAGAGAGAGAGAGAGAGAGAGAGAGAGAGAGAGAGAGAGAGAGAGAGA